AGGAGCATGCTTGGGAAATCGGAAAGAAATGTTGTTTTATCCTTGTGTACCCAATTTTCTTTCCTCTGTTCAGTGTGTTGCCAAGAATTATATTAGGCAACATGAAAAAGGAAAGGCAGATTGTCCACACTGGATTTACTACTAAAAATGAAAGAGAGCGATATCATGCTGCGTCTAAAGAGGAGAAAACTATATTGTGAAAATAATGACTTGGTTTTAAAGTTGATCTTTATTTTTGAAAGAAGACATAAATTTTTCTTACAGTGTCAACAACGTGATACCTCTTCTTTCCGGTGAGTATCTCTATAATTATTACACCAAGACTATAGAGATCAAACTGGTATGTGATTTCACCGTTAAGAAATTCTGGTGCCAAATATCCCCTGCATAAGAACATATCCATGCAATTAGTTAATGAGCGAGGAATGCAGTGATGGTATAGATCATGGAGGGGAAAAAATTGAACTAAAAGGCTTAACAAACTTACAACGTTCCACCTATATTATTAACAGTAAAAATCCGTCTTTCAGCTTCATCAAAACACCTTGAGAGACCGAAATCAGCAATTTTCGGTACAAAATTGTCATCCAGCAATATATTTGCGGGCTTTAGATCTAAGTGGACAATATTTTTCTCATGAAGATAATGTAGCCCCTGACAAATTCCTTTTATAATTTGATAGCAGTTTCTCCACTTAAGTTCGCGAGATGTACCTACGAAGGGGAGGGGATAAATGACATTTAGTATTGTTTGACATCCTTTGGGTCCTTAATATTCGATACAACATGATGGGTACTATATGTGGAATACTGAACCATGTAAACTTAAGAACCAGGAAAGGTTAAAATAAAAACTTTACGTGCCACATGATCCTACCAGTGATATACTTATCAAGACTCCCTTTTGGAAGATACTCGAAGCAGAGCAACCTTTGTTGTACATCCACCATGATAAATTTATCACTGTACCTTTCCATACTCCCTTGTGTGTCAGCACAATATCCCAAAAACCGCACTACATTTTTATGTTTCACCATCATGAGACATACAACTTCTCGTTGGAACTCTTCATGCATAAGCGTATTGCACAGCCTCTTCACAGCAACCTTCCCACCATTGAGCATCCCCTTCAGTCGCAGAAGATGACTTGACAGGGTCAACTTGAGTTTTAATATCAACTTTCATCGAGACCCGGACAGTTGAGAGTTGTGACATACCTGGTAGACCACTGCAAACCCACCTTGGCCAATTATCTGCTTATCAGAGAAACCATTTGTTATTTCTGCCAAAAGTGATAATGGCAGGGCTTTCGGGTGTTCGGTCATCAAATAGCATGCGCTCCAGGTCACTTTTTGCCGTACTTGATAGGCAATCCATTTGCAGTTAGATTCCAGGGTATCCTTGAAAGTGAAAAAAGAAAGAAAGTGAAAAATAAGAGCAAGCCCATTATTTTTTAGGCTACTAGATAGACTCAGCGTCTGAAATGACTCGAGAATCATGAAACACAAAATATCAGACTTCCATTTCAGAAGGCTAGACACTAACCCGTGACGGTCCTCCTCCTCTGGCGCTCCCGCGGGCGACAGGGGAGGAACCCTAGCCGCCGGCCCTTCTCCACCTCTCTTCTCCTCCTCCTCCTCCCGCCGCCGCCAAAGGGCGCGCCCGGGCGAAGCCCGGCCGGCGCCGGCGGCGGCGGGGCGTCTTCATCGCCTCGTTCGGGAGGGCTGGCGCGGGCCGGCCGACCTGGATCTGGCCACGGAGTTCTCGCGGGGCGCCGCGGCGCGGCCCCTCATCGGCGCAGGATGGCGCGCGGGTGTGCGGGTGGCGTGATGGTCTGCTCCTCGGTGGTGCTCGGCTGGTGTGGAGACGGCGGCGGCTCGATCCAGATCTGGTTGGGG